AATTACCACACGAGTTAGTGCAATAGCATAAACGATGTGTCCCCACATTCAGCGGTCAGTGAAATGTTGAATACTAATTATGCCAGTCGTAGTCTGATAAAACGTTACATTATCTTATCTCTAAGTATTTGGCGTCGTCCTGATCTGTTGGTCATTCACATTTACACGAACACAACTAAACCTGATCTGTTGGTCATTCACATTTACACGAACACAAATAAACCTGATCTGTTGATCATTCACATCTACACGAACACAACTAAATCTGATCTGTTGATCATTCACACCTACACGAACACAACTAAACCTGATCTTTTGGTCATTCACATCTACACGAACACAACTAAACCTGGTCTGTTGGTCATTCACATCCACACAAACACAACTAATTCTGGTCTGTTGGTCATTTACGTCTACACGAACACAACTAAACCTGATCAGTTGGTCATTCACATCTACACAAACACAACTAAACCTGATCAGTTGGTCATTCACATCTACACGAACACAACTAAACCTGATCTGTTGGTCATTCACATGTACACGAACACAACTAAACCTGATCTGTTGGTCATTCATATCTACACGAACACAATTAAACCTGATCAGTTGGTCATTCACATCTACACGAACACAACTAAACCTGGTCTGTTGGTCATTCACATCTACACGAACACAACCAAACCTGATCCGTCGGTCATTCACGTCTACACAAACACAACTGAACCTGATCTGTTGGTCATTCACATTTACACGAACACAACTAAACCTGATTATGGTGGGGTACTTATCACGAACCTGTCCGAAGGGCTAGAGTTACTTCCCCACCCATTCATGTGTTATGCTTTGGGGGTGTAAAGTATTCCTTATTTTCAACGGTTTAGTTGTGATCTCTTTTCTAATGCTATCATGGCTTACTTGTATGATTTTTTTCCACGCTGTGCTACTTGTTTGACTGTTTGTGAGCATTTAAACTGCGATGGTTTTTGTATTTCCACTTTCCTTGTCAGTGTTTTTTTTTTTCTGGCGGGGAGGGGGTGGGGAGCTTGGGTGGGGCAGCAGGGGGGGGGGGGGGACACCGAGGTACGTTAAAATACAAAAACATTCCAGTTTCGATACTCACGAACTGTCGTGTGTATGATATGTATGTTTGCGCTCTCGCGTGTGCTTGATATGTATGTATGTGTAGGCGTGTTTGTATACATATGACTCTGAGTATGTTGTTTGTCTGCTTGTGTATCTCGGTGTGTGTCTGCGAATGTATGCGTCTGTGTCCTAGTGTATGTACGAATGTTTGTGTGTTCGCGCGTATGTCCACGTGTATGTTTCAGTGTAAACTGGTTTCTGTGTGTTTAAGTGTGCCTCTTTGCTGTGTATGTGTGTCTGCATGTGTGTGTGTGCGATTGGATACATGTAACTGTGAATATGTGTCTGTGTGTGTGTCTCTGTGTTTGTCTGCAAGTGTGTGTGTCTCTGTGTTTTTCTGCATATTTGATGTGACTGTGTGTATATCTTCGTTTGTGTCTGTGTGTGTCCCCGTATGTGTTTGTCTTCATGTTTGCCTGTGTATTTTTATGTGTTTTGTCTGCGGGCGTGTCTATGAGGCTGTATGCATGTATCTCTGTGTGTGGGTGTCTGTATGTCTGTCTGCGTGAGTGTATGTGTCAGCATGTGTCTGTCTGTCTGTGCATGTCTATGCGTGTTTCTCTGTGTGTGTTATGTGTGCCCCTTTGTTGTCTGTATGTGTCTGCATGTCAGAGTATATGTCTGTGCGTGCTGAATATATGTGTCTGCGTGTGTATTTCTATGTGTTTGAATGATTATGCATTTCTGCGTGTTTGTCTCTGTGGGTGTCAGTATGTGTTTGTCTGCCTGTTTGTCTGTATTTGTGTGTGTGTGTGTGTGTTTGACTGCGTGTATGTCTATGTGGCTGTATGTATGTGTCTGCATGTTTGTCTGCGTATGTGTGGTGTGTGTGTCAGTGTGTGAGCTTACTTACTTTTTCCTTCCACGTATGCCGCTAAGCGTTGTGGGGAGATGCAAGTTAATGTCGTAAGCAAGGCGGGCAGCATCTGATGTTCTGAGGCCATGCTTTTGGCAGGTTTCGGAGACCCCGTCAATCCACCGTTTCCTTGGTCTTCATCTTGCCTTATATCCTGAGCTTCTTTGGTTGAAAATTTGTGATGTTATTTGATCATTTTTCATCCTGGTTAGATGTCCAAACCATTTCATTCTTTGATGTTCTATGTAGTCTAAACATGGTGTAGTTTTGACAGTGTTTCTAATGTCTATATTCTTTATCCTGTCTAGTCTGGTCTTATTCGCTGCTTTTCTTAGACATTTCATTTCACAGGCTTCTATTTTTCTTTCGTGGGTCTTGTTGATTGTCCATGTCTGGCACTGGTAGCAGAGTGTTGGAATGAAGATGGTGTTTATCAATTGTCTTTTGGTCTTCATGGTTATATCTGGATGTTTAAGCAGAGGTGATAGCTGGTATGTGACAGCATTTGCTTTCTGTATTCTTGTTTCTATCTCTCTGTCCATTCTTCCATCCTCTGTAAATATACTGCCCAAGTATTTGAACTCTTTGGTTTGCTTGATTTTGGCACTTCCAACATTTATATTCAGTGGCCTGTGTGTTCTGCTGATCTTCATAACTTCTGTTTTTTCTGTACTGATTCTCATATTATGTTGTAAACAGCTGTTGTTGAGAGTAGTCAGATGTTCCTGTAGATCATATTCATTTTGATACAGTATGCTTTGATCATCAGCAAAAAGTAATTCGTTTATAGCATACACGTCTGGGTTTGCTTCTACAGTGATCTTATCCATGTATGTTATGAAAAGTAATGGTGACAGTACACATCCTTGTCTGACACCAGTTGTGACTTTGAACCATTCAGAAAGACCACTAGATGTTCTTACTGCACTTTCACTTTTTTCATAGAGGGCTCTGATGTTGTCTAATAATGGACCCTGCACTCCGTAATCGTCAAGAATTCTCCACAGCATATCTCTGTCTACACGGTCGAATGCCTTCTCTTGATCTACAAAGACCACGTTCAGCTCTTTATCGTATTCTAGTGTCTTTTCACAGACTTGTCTTAGTGCAAATATGGCATCAGTGCAACCTCGCCCTTTCCTGAAACCGAATTGTGCTTTACTCAGTAGAGGTTCAACCTTTGCTCTTATCCTACCTTCTAAGATCTTTGCATACATTTTCCCCACATGACTTAGTAAAGATATTCCTCTATAAGTTCCACATTCTCTCTTGTTTCCTTTTTTCTTCCAGATAGGTACTACAGCTGATCTTTGCCAATCCACTGGTACCTTTCTCTCTGCCCATGCTCTATTGAAAATTCTCTCCAGCCAGGTGATCATAGGGTCCCCTCCAGCCTGGATGACTTCTGTTGTTATTCCGTCGATACCAGCTGCTTTGTGTCTTTTACTTGTTTTGATAACTTTCTCTACTTCATCCCGCAGGATGTGTGGTTCTAGATGATCTGGAGCCCTTGAATGGAATTATGCTGTTTCATGTATTCCCGACGGGTTCAAAAGTTCTTTAAAATATTCCTCCCATCTTTTTTTAATTTCTTTTTGGCTGAATAATGGTTTTCCATTTTTATCATTTATGACTGATGTTGGATTGAAGCTTTCTTCTCTTAATCGCATCGCTTTCACACTCTTATAAAAGTCTCTTGATGATTCTGTACATAGCTGTGTTAGGTGTTCACCATACTTTTTCCATGATTCCTCTTTGGATTTCTTTATTGTTCTCTTGGTGTCTCTTCGAGTTAGTCTGTACCTAATGTAATCTTTTTCGTCTTTTGTTTTTAACCATATTTGAAACATCTTCTTTTTATTTGACACTGCTTCTTTGACTTCTTCATTCCACCAAGCGGTACCCTTTTTCTTGCCTTTGCCCGTCTTTCTGGTACCACACTTGTCTTTTAATATCTTCGTGATGGTTGATTTATAATAATCCCATTCTTCTTCAATTCCTACTGGTTCCTTGGCAATATCTGCAAAAGCCTTTGTTATTTCTAATTCAAATTCATGTTTGATATTCTCTTCCTCTAATTTCTTAGTGTTGATGATTTCTTCACGTTTCTGTTTATGTAGACTGTTTCTACTTGAGTTGCATATGTTCATAACTACTGGGCGATGGTCTGAATCCAGTCCGGGCACGATGGTCTGAATCCAGTGTGTGAGCACGAATGTAAATATATGTGCTGTGTGCTCCCCTGTGTGTGTTTATATGTAAGTGTCTGTGTGTGTGTCTGTATTTTTGTCTGAGTGTGTGTGTGTCTCTGTGGGAGTGTCCGTGTGTGCATGTGTGTGTCTCCATTCATGACTGTATTTATGACTGTATGCGTGTATGCCTGTATTACGTATGAATGTATGTTTGTATCTATGTATGTATGTGTGTGTGTACGTATGCCTGTGTATGTGTGTATGCATGTTTGTTTGTATGTATCTGTGTATGTATGTATGTAATGTATGCATGCATGTTTGTGTGTTAGTGAGTGGGTGAGCGCGTGTATGTGGGTGTATGTATGCACGCGCGGGTTTTTGCATGCACTTTACAACTCATGCTTTTGTGTTCCTTTATAATATTCATAATATGCATATCATCATATGATCATAACATGCTTTATTAGTAAAATACAACTGCTGTGCGAAAGATGGTTGACTGGAAGGGCCGAATGTAAGACGGGCCTGCGTGCCCAATTTGTGACCCTTTAAAAATAAAGTTCGTTCGTTCGTTCGTTCGTTCGCGCCTGCGGCGCTTTCCCCAGCGTTACTTATTACTTGTATCCATGTGCATATTGCACCTCAAAGAGACTCACGACAAAAAAGCCTCCAACACACATTATGTACGGTGCGAGAACGAAGGCATTTCATATCACCCCACAACATAGGACAGGTCGTGCAACCCGCCGCGACATGAATGGCAAGGGAAGGAACTCTCGCCATGCGGCCCAGTTTTTGAGAAGTTTTTATGGTGGACACATAGGACTTAAAGTTGCGAAGAATTCATTGATGTCTGTTTCGCCACATTGTCCGTTAACTTGTTTGACCGTCATGATCCAGGTCTCCAGGCTTTTCTCCGCACAAGTGCACACTAAATCAGAAGAATCACTCATGTCTAAAGTGTACAATGTCAGTACAGAGGTTAAGGCCAGCGGCATACGTGTCAGTCTTGTGTGCTGGAGGTTCAAGGTGTTCAACGAATCAAGGCCGTCAAATGCATGATTGGAAATTGTGGCAATCGGATTATTATTTAAATATAAAGCAAACAGCTTTGTATGAGCTGGAAAACTCGAATCTGTTAATTCAGTGAGCATATTAAACGATAGATTGATTTCCATTAGAAATTCGTGAAAATCAGCTTGTTCAATGTGGCTGATTAAATTATGTGAAAGATACATGGAAGTCGAAGACACAAGACTCCTCCATACAGTAGGAATCGATGGCAGACAATTATTGCTCAAGTCAAAATCGTAAAGTTCGTTAGACAATGCTCCCGATGTTGGATCGGAAATCCTGTTGAAGGAGAAGTCCAGGCTTGAAACTTGATTCAGAAAGGAGAAATCTGGAATGGCTGTCAACATATTTCTGTCAATTTCCAACGATGCTAAAGTTTCATTAAAGGGACGTAGCATATCGCTGAGATGTTTAGCATCCGATATAAGGTTGTTGTTTAACGACAAAGTGGTCAGCTTTTTTGGCGGAGGAAGCCATGTGAGGTTGGATATTTTATTTGCGTATAGGTGTAGAGATTCTAAATTTACAAGTTTTGAAATCGCTCTCGGCACTGATGTCAGACTTGCGTTGCTAATAGACAGACCTGTCAAGTTAAAGATCATTTTGTTTAGCGCATCGTCTGGAAGTGAGGAAATTTGATTGAAGTCCACAGTTAAATCATTCAAGCTGGAATAGTTGTTCAACCAGTGGGGCCACATCTTCAAGCCAACTTTTTCCAGATCAAGATTGATCATTGTTTGACCAAGTTTCTTCATGACGTCATCATTCCAATTAACAATGTTTGTGTCGTAAAAATCGAAATATTTCAAGTTTTGTAAATGACCAAATGCATCCGGGATTCGTGAAAAGTTGGCTCTCGAAATCGAGAGGGAGCGTAAAGTTGTAGCAGATCCGTTAAAAGCGTTTTCATCGATTGTTGCTATGGGGTTGTCTAACAAGGATAACGACAACAGACCAGATGGTAGACTTCCAGCTGGTATTGTTGTGATGTGATTACTCTGTGAGGGAAAATTAAAAGTTGTGTTAAGTTTTGTTTTAGGAATATAATCAATTTTGTCCCAGGTCATGCTGGTGTAAAAGGCAATGAGAGAGACGAGACACTGGCTGGCAGTGAAACCATCAGGAATGGGCCATCAATGGACATGAAAGACATCATCAATGCCATACTCGATTCTAAACGCTGTGAGGCTTGCATTTTCGTGGAACATGATTTGTCAATGAATAGACTACATACCAGTTGGAGCAGAGAGACAGATAAAACACGAGGAAGCATCCTTACATCAACGACAATGAAAGTTGTTAGCCAAAAAACACTTGAGGTCATACTCAGAAGGAGATCGGAGCACTCATGGTCATGTCCGAAGTGCGATAAAGACTTTTAAACAATGAGCAATAGCAAGACACTTCCCTCCCTTCCAAGGGTCTTATGTTGAAACTTCTTGATTTATAAAATGCTACCCCTCCCTATATTGGTTTCATGACAGCATACTGGGAAACAATAAGAATAGAGCCACTGTCCGCTATCAAGCGTGCAGAAAGAATCGATTAATTATGTATGTTTCGTCTGAAGTCAGACTGGCCTGACAGACGATAAAACAACAGTCTGCATTAATAAACCAGATCTATAAAACGAATGTGAATGCAAAACCAAAGTTTTGGAACAAGACTGAAAAATACAGAAGTGGACGAACAATCTTTCAATCAGAGTTTACAGACGGTAAACGCAAAAAAAAAAAAAAAAAATTTCTCTTTTTTCCCCGATGTAGAAGGAAACTGAAATAGTCACCAGGAAATATGTGAAGTACCGATTGCCCCACCTAGTGCTGTATACTCAGGAAGAGAAGATAGAAAACATATACAAGGAGTAGGAACTATCAGGACACATAGAGTTGTATGGACTGACTACCAGTTCATCACAATATATCAAGTTCATTGTTAAACACGGGTGTGAAGTTTACCACTTCACTCTTAGAGTGTCAATAGGGGCTGTAGAAACGTGAGATAGGCATCATATGTCGGATGCGAATAGGTCGTGAAAAAGTCTTTTGCGTTAGATCACCCCCGCTACCCACACACACACACACATACACACATAAACATACTAGGTCAGTGAACCTCAAATTAAATAGGCTATTATGTAGAACATTTCCAGCATAGAGTGTCAGTATCCTTGTGTAGGCTACACAAAAGTTCAGTATATAAAAACAATACAGCTATAATGCTTAAGGTTTCCAACAGACACTACTAATCATGCTAGACACCTAAAATGACACTTTTTAGAGTGTTGTGTGGAAAAAAAAGGGGGAGGGGGTGTTTGGTTAGACAAGATTTACTGATTTATAAACTGGCATCAAAGCACACAAGTTATAATAATAAATGCTCTGTCTTTGGCAGCAAATGTATTGAGGTAAACATGCTGAGTCTTCCAGTAGCAGACTGGTTGTACACACGTCGTACTATTCCTCTCGTATACCCTCTCTTGTAGAATCCACATATTCAAACGTCACATTAAAAAAAGGCTCAAAATCATGGATAGGTCGGCAGAAGATGTTATTAGGCAAATATGCAGCCTAACAGAGATCACCCCTGGTGCAGAGTGGATACCTGTGCCTCATGCGTTTATTTGTACATGCTCCTGTTTTGCCACTCAACCGGCAATGTAGAGAAGAGAATCCTGTTGCTGTTGTCGCAGAGGTCAACGTTCTCATCAGTGAAAATTCAGACGAAGCAGATGCACTAATCTACACAGAGGGATCCGTTATACGCCAAAAAAGAAGCGCATGGGCATTCACAGCACGCTCAGCAGGCAGAACAGTCAAAGAAGCCAACGGCGCCTTCTCCATGACAACCAGCAGCATGACGATGGAGGTGATGGCAGTAACGCAAGCGTTCGCCTGGCTCGAAACACATAACTACACCCGCGTGTGTATACTCAGTGATTCAATGAGTATGATCCGGTGGGTTCAGGCAGGTTCGGTGCAAAGACAATGACTTGAATCATTACAGAAGTTCACTGTGCGTGAGTCACCTTTATTTTTGTTCCGATAAACGCAGGTGTCGATGGAAATGAAAAAGTTGATAGGTTGGCTGGATCCGCTATCACTACCGACGGTCAGCCTATGGATCATGCTGATATTATTAAGGGGTCACTACACGGCATTTTTCGCAATTTATGACAAAAATATCACTTTTTCAATGTGTTCGTTTTTGTAAAGTTCGGCATTTGTAGAATATATGACACACAAAATTTATGTCATTTGTAAGCAATTTAGCATTGAAAAGTTAATACTAACGACACCACCTCGTGCACTTTTTTTATAAAATATCTGCTCTAAGTCTGTAAATAAAAAAATAAAAAAATTTGGTGTAGTGACCCCTTAATGCCCTCAGAGAAATGGAAAAGATAGAGGACTTTGGTGGCAGTGAATCCACATCACTTGCTAGAATGGCTGACTTGGGAATCAAGGCCGGCATAGCAAAAAAAAAAAAAAAAACGAGACGCACACCAGACACACCAGAAGACTCGTTAATCAACATAGAACTGGTACTATTAGCCATCTGACGTTGGGGTTCATACTGAGGGGATGATCTGAGCACCTATGGACATGTGCGGAGTGCAATGATGATAACCCAACTAACTAACTAACTAACTAACTAACTAACTAACTAACTAACTAACTAACTAACTAACTAACTAACTAACTAACTAACTAACTAACTAATCCATAAAGGCTCACATACGCTATTTCATCTAATGTTAAAGCATTCGTTTGTAGACAGACAGAAAGAAGTAAGAACCCTGAGACGGTATATTACGGAGAATATTAGCTATTGTAACTTACTCCTAACAGCAATGAATCAAAACCGCTACTGGCACCAGTCAGGCGTGGAATGGCAGGGAGGCCTAAGTCCTGGCAGGATATTTCATAACCGTCACATGAACATTCCTGGAACAAAGCAGTGTGATCATTCAACATTACTGTTACATGAACATTCCTGGAACATAGCAGTGTGATCATTCAACATTACCGTTACATGAACATTCCTGGAACATAGCAGTGTGATCATTCAACATTAAAGTTACATGAACATTCCTGGAAGATAGCAGTGTGATCATTCAACACTACCGTTACATGAACATTCCTGGAACATAGCAGTGTGATCATTCAACATTACCGTCACATAAACATTCCTGGAACATAGCAGTGTGATCATTCAACATAACCGTCACATGAACATTCCTGGAACATAGCAGTGTGATCATTCAATATAACCGTCACATGAACATTCCTGGAACATAGCAGTGTGATCATTCAACATTACCGTTACATGAACATTCCTGGAACATAGCAGTGTGATCATTCAATATAACCGTCACATGAACATTCCTGGAACATAGCAGTGTGATCATTCAACATTACCGTTACATGAACATTCCTGGAACATAGCAGTGTGATCATTCAACATTACCGTCACATGAACATTCCTGGAACATAGCAGTGTGATCATTCAACATTACCGTCACATGAACATTCCTGGAACATAGCAGTGTGATCATTCAACATTACCGTCACATGAACATTCCTGGAACATAGCAGTGTGATCATTCAACATTACCGTCACATGAACATTCCTGGAACATAGCAGTGTGATCATTCAATATAACCGTCACATGAACATTCCTGGAACATAGCAGTGTGATCATTCAACATAACCGTCACATGAACATTCCTGGAACATAGCAGTGTGATCATTCAACATTACCGTCACATGAACATTCCTAGAACATAGCAGTGTGATCATTCAACATAACCATCATACAAAAATTTCTGGAATAAAGCAGTGTGATCAGTTAACTTGACCGTCATATAAAGATTCATGGAACATAGTAGTGTGATCATTCAACATAACCATCATACAAAGATTCCTGGAATAAATAAGTGTGATCAGTCAACATGACCGTCCAAAAAAAAAAGATTCCTGGAACATAGCAGTGTGATCAGTCAACATAACAGTCAAAAAACGATTCCTGGAACTTTGCAGAGTGATCATTCAACATAACCATTATATGAAGATTTCTGGAACAAAGCAGTGTGATCAGTCAACATGTCCGTTCTAAAACAACAGTATGGCCATTCAACAAAACTGGTACATGTACATTTGACAGTGAGATGAAACAACGTAACTGATATATGAACATTCGTAGAACGTAGCAGTATGGCTTTTAAACAAAACTGTCACATGAGAATTCATAGTATGTAAAATTAGAAGGAGAAGAACAACTAAGTAAATTTGTGTGTATTTTAAGATTTAATAAGTTAACACTAACTACAGTTAGGTTGAGATTACTGTAGAATAAGAATGTAATAAATCAACACAGCCGTCATAGTCCGTTAATATAGCAATGCAATAAATTAACATTCCAAACACTAAACACTGAAACCGGTACTTTGCTTGACACGAGGTCACTACGCGGTATTTAAAAAAAAAAATAATTAATGACAAAAACATCACTTTTTCAATGTGTTCATTTTTGTACAGTTCGACATTCGTAGAATAGATTACACACAAGATTGATGTCTTTTTTAAACAATTTAGCATTGAAAAGATAATGCCTATACTATAACATGGCATATTTTAAATCATTTTTACCGAACTTTAAGACCTTTTCGATTTCTATATACGAAAGCAAATACTAGAATTGCCAGCGAGCTACGAAACCAAGAAACTAGTCACCATAACCAAATATCAGTGGCTCTATTATTTGGCATCATTTGATTAGTCCCTTTTCCATTTGGACACAAAAAGATTAATACAATGAATAGAGGAATTCATGCAAGGAAACATAGTGAATCTTCGAATTTGAGGTAATTTTCCTACTTCTAATATTAAATTGACGATGTCGCTCTCCAGTTTCGCTTCTATTTCGCTTCAATTCGCTCGCCATTATATTGATGGGATGCTGATGATGTGATAGATGCTAGTCGGATGATTATTTCATGTTTATGGTCCAGTTCTACTTTTAATGCTGACATTAATGAGCCTACGGGTACTCAAGGTACTGCTAAATCTGCAGATTCGGAAAGCTATGGTAGAGCACAGCAGAAGCTTGATGTATACGACAGTAGGAATCTGACTGAGGTTTAAGAAAAAAAAAAAAACTATGAGTATGTCTCTTCATCCTACACATTCATTCATCAAAGTTTATTCAGTTCACTTGTTTTTGCCGTGGGCTGCAGAAATTGCGGAAGTAACAATATACAACTAGTTACGAAAAAGACAAATGGTCTGGCCTTCCTTATAGAAATTATTTGTCCAGATTGTGAGTCACAGTGGTCAAACTAGACATCTCTGCAAATTGAGAAAAATCATGAAATCAACTACAGGGTAGTCACTGGTTGTATAGACAATGACATTGGCTATGTTAATTAAGTTAAATTCTTGCCTGTCTATCATGAACATTAGAAATCAGATGCCTCAAACAACATATTATAAATTAGCAAACAGTGAAAGCCCTGCAGCCAAGATAGCAGCAGAATATGCGATGTGTCGAGCAGCCTTTGTAGTTACAGAAAGATCAGCAGCTGGAGTTCTCCAACCAGACAAAGCCACATGTGACACTGTGTGCCTCATCACTGTTTAATGACATGGCACATGGCAGAAATGAGGTCATTCGTCACCAATGGAGTCGAGTTTGTCATCGATGTTGATTGTGGTATCGTTCTAGATACTCAGGTCATCAGTATTTGACAACATGGGGCTGGAATATGGACTTACAAACAACTTGTATGCTACATGAATGCTGAAGAGAAAGTATTATGATTTAAGAAAACAAACATTAGGACTTTCAAAGTGGAAGAGGAAAAAGCACAACAAAAAGTCGACTCGAGCTAGAACACCAGCATGAAGCAACAGAAGTCAAAACTTATGTTGCTAGTGTATTTATTTGTTACATTTATGTGTCATCTGGATATGATGCAGAATAAACAAACTGGATAAGAGCACTTTCTTTCTGTATTAATTATATTTTATGTGACTCTCAAAGTTTAAAAGTCAGTGCTCTCACAATTCTACGTTTCTGTTTGCTGTGTATGGGAAATCCTTGAACCTCAGTTAATACAAACACTAGAAACAGGACATTTGTTGTGGATACTTCTTACACAATATTATAGGAGAAGTGTCTATTTAAAGGTACAGTTTATATTTTTTAAATTTGATTATTGTCTTATGGTGCTACATTTTTTTAACCTATTCAACATACCTATATTTAAATATTCTAAGAAAAATATTCAGAAACAAATTTAAAGTAAATAAACTAAACCTGACCCTTAATATAAGTTTAAAATGTAGATATCAATCATCTATTTCTCAATATCTATGTTTGTTTTTGAAATGTTAATAGTCTAAGAACAAATATTTTTTTTTTAATTATGTGGCGGCTCTTGCCACGGCAACCATGACTTTTGAAAGCTAAACGTCTACAAATATATTAACATACAACCCTATAAACGACCATTATAACATAATTGGTGAAACATTGTAAATGTAAAAAACAAAAGTTACGTGTAGTGACCTTAATTAATGAATATTTGGTTCAAATACAGGTCTGTACGTTTAGTTGGGAGCATTTTATCTGTTTATTTCAATTACTCCATCTTCTCTTATTTTCTTTTTAATTTCTCTCTTATCTCTTACTAGTTGCATGACGCAATCATTCTCTCTCTCTCTCTCTCTCCCTCTCTTTCTTTGTGTCTCTGTCTTTTTTCTTTTATCTCTGCCGCCTTTATTATCTTTTTCTCTCGCTGTTATCCCTCCTCCCCCCCCCCCCCATATATGCACCCTCTCTGATATTCTATATTTCGAGCGTCACTATTTTTAACTCTTTATGTCTCTCTCTCTCTCTCTCTCTCTCTCTCTCTCTCTCTCTCTCTCTCTCTCTCTTTTCCTTCTAATTACACCGATCTCTACATTTCTATGGTATTCTTTATCTTATTCTCTCTTCATCTATCTATTGCTTTCTCCCAGTGTCTCTCTCGTTTCTATTCGTAACTTTCAGTACACAAAGCATCGTTATTCTTATCTACTTACACCAATTGATTACCTGGTACGGACAGCCAGCAGCGAAGGAGCAAGTGAACGCACACACACGTATCCAAATAATTAGGTCATATTTTTGTCTGACCATGGTTTCCAGATGGTGTTTCAGCAACAACCTGCAGCAATTGGTCGGCCTATGTTGTAACGCGTCTCAAATCAGAATACAGTGGATGGTTTGTCCTGTCAATGTTATGTCATTATAACTTTTTAAGCGATAATCTTAAAATATAATAACTGATAACATTGAGTGGGCACGTTTAAGTATCTTCGTGAATGACCAGATGACTGAATTTAAAAAAGAATATAGATTAAGTAAAGCAATAACCATAATTCACATTCACATAATCTTCATCATCGCCACCACCACTATCATCATCATTATCATTTTCATCATTATCATCTTCATCATTATCATCATCATCATAATCTTTATCATCATCATTAACACAATCATCGTTTAGCAGGTCCTTTACAAAGCATGACTGATATCACAGTCAGCCTGAAAGAAACGCCGTGGGTCGTTGGTGCTCCCTCTGGTGATTTGTTTTCAAATTCTCGAAGTATTTCCCATATACTGTGTCCGTCTTTGTGCTGGTCGATACCAGCTACTTGTTCCGCTACACTGACCCATGATATCGACATGATCAACAATGAAGATATTTACGACCACACTAACGACCGCGACGACGAGCACGGCAACGACAAGGTCGATGATAATGACAATGATGGTCGTGGTGGTAAAATGTATTACCATTACAAAACATTACCGCTGTAGTCCTGCATTACCAACTCTACGAGAGAGAGAGAGAGAGAGAGAGAGAGAGAGAGAGAGAGAAAGAGAGAGAGAGAGAGAGAGAGAGAGAGAGAGAGAACGAACGAACGAACAAACAAACCAACTTTATTTTTAAAGGGTTAAGAATTGGGCACGCAGGCCCGTCTAACATTCTGCCCTTCGAGGTCTCCCTCCATTCTTACATCATTTCACTCACACATCAAGTAATATTAAAAGTTAGCAATAGCATCAAAATAATCAATACAAGCACTGGAATGTGCACATTTCTAACTACAGTAAAACGTAATAATTGTAACAAATCTAAGGAAAATGAGCGCTATTTTTCACATATGTTTTATCTTCTATGGGGGCATAAAATCTGTGCTCAGATAATATTCGAACAGTTTCCGATTGTATGTATTATGGACTAGTTGTACTTTTGATTTGCTGTGGTAGATAGTTCCACAATTGAGCTGCGGAATATGACAAACTTGTTTTATACAGGTCTATCTTAGGTTTAGGGATGTGTAATATGTTTAGACGCTTACTATGTCGTTCATTATATTTGAACAACGGCCATAAGTAACATGGAGCCTTTTGAGATAATATTTTGCAAGTATATTTCGCCTTATTGAAAAGTAGACGTTTACGAAGCGGTAGTAGTCTAAGATCTTTAAATGTTTCGTAGCTCAGTGTTCTATGATTGTTACTAATTAAGCGAATGGCGCGCTTTTGAGAGAGAGAGAGAGAGAGAGAGAGAGAGAGAGAGAGAGAGAGAGAGAGAGAGAGATGTTATGTATTACCTGTCTTTCACACACAACGGAAAAAACCCCAGCAAAGTGTTGCTGACACATTAGCTTATCTCGCTACACAGATACAGACTAGCAGACACAGACTTGCGACAAATCACAGTTGTTACGTCAAGACTGTGTTGTTGGGTGAACATATGTTCATATTTCTCATTTCTGATATTGGACCGAGTTTGCGGGACGATTGGTTTCATGATGTTTCTGAGAAATTTGTTGTTTTTGGGAATGTGAACTACCCAAGTGCGCACAATATCATGGCAGAAGGCAGAATGCCAGCGAGGCTAAAATCATATTTTCATAGACCAATCGTAACTCGATAGGAGATATCAACATGCCTTTAGTTCCCAGAATCGCATCTTTTTCCCGTGCTAAGTCTGTTTGGGAGTCAAGTTCATTATTAGTAAATACGACTCAAATATTGCAATTTAAAAAAAAAGTCTCTTCTGTCAACTACGGCCGGTAGACAACGCTAGACGGCCGGTTAGTCGGAGTTCTGTCCCTTGGCTACAGTGCAATTACGGAGTGGAAAAGGAGGGAACGAAACAATTGACACAATTACTGTGTGTTGGCGTTAGACAGAGTGCACTGCCCTGCTATAATCATACGGTTACGGTTTGGGTTAGGCTTTGGGTTAGGGTTAGAGTTAGGGTTTGGGTTAGAGTTTGGGTGTGGGTTAGGGTTAGGGTTTGGTTTAGGGTTAGAGTTAGGGTTAGAGTTGCGGTTAGTGTCGCCGCATCTCGTCTTCGCAGATACTTAACGTAGCAACCCAAACCTTAACCCCAACTCTAAACCCTACCCCTAACCCTAACCCACACCCTAACTCTAAACCTAAACCAAACCCTACCCCTAACCCAAACCCTAACCGTATGATGACAGTAAGGCACTGCACGCTGTCTATCGCCAACACACAGTAATTATGTCACGTGTGTCCGTCCCTCTAATCCACTCCGTAATACGTCGCAAGAAGCGGTAATTGAACGCGGTCGCTAACTTGAGTCGCAGAGCGGGTTCTGCCAGGCATTTCGACCTCACTTTGCTTTTTGATTCGTGCCTTCTCAAGTCCGTAATTGCACTGAAGCCAGGGGACAGAACTCCGACTAACAGGCCGTCAACTGTTGTCTACCGGCCGTAGTATACAGGAGAGCCAACATAAATTACATTGACCAGTCGGCTCTCTATAGGGGTGAGGGAAACAAAAATAAAGGTGACTCCACGCACAGTTGACTTCTGTAATGATTCAAGCCATTGTTTTGGCAACGAACCTGCCGGAACCCTCTAAATCATTGATGGTGGTAGTGATGATGATGATAAAAAATTGTGTGAATGCCAATTATGGTTATTCAAAAGCTTTACCTAATCTATATCCTCTTTCAAATTCAATCATCTGGTCATTCAATGACCACTCAATGTTGACAGTTATGATATTTCTAGATTATCGCTTACAAAGTTAATGTGACATAACATTTACAGGATAAACCAAACCTCTGTAATCTGATCTCAGACGTGTTACAACATAGACCGACCAACTGCTGCAGGTTGTTGCTGAAACACCACCTGGAAACCATGGTCAGACCAAAATATGACCTAATTATTTGGATACGTGTGTGTGCGTTCACTTGCTCCTTCGCTGGTGGCGGTCCGTACCAGGTAAACAGTTGGAGTAAGTAGGTAAGAATAACGATGCTTTGTGTACTGAAAGTTACGAATAGAAAAGAGAGATACACTGGGAGAAAGCAATAGATAGATGAAGAGAGAATAAGATAAAGAATACCATAGAAATGGAGAGATCGATGTAATTAGAAGGAAAGAGAGAGACTCAGAAGGAGTTAAAAATAGTGACGATGGAAATATAGAATATCAGAGAGGGTGTATATATTGGGGGAGGGGTGGGGAGAATAGGGATAACAGCGAGAAAATAAGATAATACAGGCGGGAGAGAGAAAAGAAAAAAGACTGAGACACAAGGAAAGAGAGGGAGCGAGAGAGAGAGAGAGAGAGAGCATGATTGAGTCATGCAACTAGTAAGAGATGAGAGAGAAATTAAAAAGAAAATGAGAGAAGATGGTGTAATTTAAATGCTCCCAACTCAATGTACAGACATGTAATTGAACCGTAGAGACCATTGAAAAATGCGGTAAAATATTCCTTAATTAAGGGCTCACTACAGTAACATTTTTTTTTTCAATTTACAATGTTTGACCAATTATGTTTTAATGGTCGTTTATAGGGTTGTATGTTAATATATGTGTACACTTTGAGCTTTCAAAAATCATGGCTGCCGTGGCAAGAGCCGCCATCCTAATTTTTTTTTTTTTTTTAAACTAGCTTTCAGACTAAAAATTTTAAAAACAAACATAGATATTGAGAAATAGATGATTGATTCCTAAACTTTAAACTTATGTTAAGGGTCATGTTTAGTTCCTTTACTTTAAAGTTGTTTCTGAATATTTTTCTTAGAATATTAAAATATAGGTATGTTGAAAAGGTTAAAAAAAATGGAACCATCTTAGTTAGTTAGTTAGTTAGTTGGGTTATCCTCATTGCACTCCGGACATGTCCATAGGTGCTCAGATCCTCCCCTCAGTATGAACCCCAACGTCCGATGGCTAATAGTACCAGTTCTATGTTGATTAACAAGTCTTCTGGCGTGTCTGGTGTGCGTCTCGTTTTTTGCTGTGCCGATCCTAATTCCCAAGTCTGCCATTCTGGCGAGTGATGTGGATTCACTGCCACCAAAGTCCTCTATCCTTCCCATTTCTCTGAGGGCATTGATAATATCAGCATGATCCATAAGCTGGCCGTCGGTAGTGATAGCGGTTCCAGCCAACCTGTCAGCTCTTTCATTTCCATCGACGCCTGCGTGTCCCGGAACAAAAATAAAGGTGACTACGCACAGTGGACCTCTGTAATGATTCAAGCCATTGTCTTCGCACTGAACCTGCCTGAACCCTCCGGATCATACTCATTGAATCACTGAGTATACATACACGGGTGTATTTTTGTGTTTGAAGCCAGGCAAACGCTTGCGTCACTGCCATCACCTCCATCGTCAAGCTGCTGGTTGTCATGGAGAAGGTGCCGTTGGCTTCTTTGACTGTTCTGTCCGTTGAGCGTGCTGTGAATGCCCATGCGCTTCTTTTTTGGTGTATAACGGATCCGTCTGTATAGATTATTGCATCTGCTTCATCTGAATTTTCACCGATGAGAGCGTTGACCTCTGCATTAACAGCAACAGGATTCTCTTCTCTACATCGCCTGTTTAGTGTAACAATACAGGAAAATGTACAAATAAACGCCTGAGGCACAGGTATCCATTCTGCACCAGGTATGATGTCGGTTAGGCTGCATATTTGCCTAATAACATCTTCTGCCCGACCTAGCCACGATTTCCCCCTCTTCAGTCTGTCGCCCTTTTCACTAAAAAGCGCTTGATGCAGTGGGTGTTTCCTATCAGCACATATTTTGAGATATGTCCGAGCCCTCCACATCCTGATTCTTTGGTTCATT